AAGTAAGTGGAGAAGTCTTTCCTGGTATGTAAGCATACGATAATTATTTTTTAAGCCGAGGGTCAGATTCTTGAATTTTGGTTTTTATATTCCATTTTTGTTATTTGTATATTTTAATATACTTAATATATGTTTAATATATATTTTTATAAAAATTTTAATGATATATGCCTTTAAAGATGATCTTTTCAACTATTAAAAATACACCTGTCTTCTGATTTTGTTAACCAACCAAGAACAGATGCTTATGTATAAGGTTGAGAGGATGTAGTTGGACTTGTTGAATGGGAGCAAAATTGTTAGAGTATGAAGCTTTTTGTCCTAGGAAAAAAGAGATGCATATCATCTCCTGTACAATATGAAAATACAGGCCGGATATCCCTTTTTTAAGAAGTGTGGGGCTGAAAATATTTTGGATTTAGAATTTCTTTGTAATTTTGGAATATTTGCATATATAAAGTGATATTTAGGGAAATGGATACAAACCTTTACCCAAAATTCATCTAAGTTTTATATGTAGCTTATATACACAGACTGAGGTGATTTTATAGTATTTTTTAGCACACCTGTATCACAAGACATTAAGTGGGAATTTCTAACTGTGAGATAACTTGGAGTGTTCCAGGTTTCAGAATTTTGGATCTGAAATGCTCAACCTGTATTGAAGATTATGGAGACAGAATTCCTCCCATCAAAAATATAAAGAAATCAAAGGTGAATAACCCCAAAACAGTAACCTGAAGGAAAAATTTAAACGCATAGGGAAAATGTATATACCAAGATGCACAAACTGATTAAAGCCAGCAACTTTCATGGAGTCCATGCCTCACTTTACAGTGATGTCCCCCTGTGCTAACCTGACTGTTCCATTGTTTCCCAAGCACCAGCCTTTGGTTTTCTTGTGGGCTCCAACCCAGTAATGCCATGCATTCTCAGGACCCTGCCTCCCTAACAGAACCATCTTAGATGCCAGCAGACATCACAATAATCGTTCCCCTGGAAGCCCTTCTCTTTGCAAATCCCTCTTGTTTTCTTTGCGTTCACTTTACAAAATCCCTCCCTTGATTATCTCAACAGTTCCTTCTCAGTGCCTACAGCTGAGCATCTGGAAGTTGCTGGAGAAAACAGTGGGTTTCATGCTAAATTTTGCTCTCAACTCCCAAACAGCCCTCAGTACTGACAACAGAGATAATTACTCTAATAAGTATGTGCCTTCTTTTCCAACCCAGTTTTATTCTCATGTCTCCTTAAATTCTGTTCTGGAGCTCATTCCCTCCTCACTCCCAGCTCATGGCCTCTTCTCATAAGTCATTATAAAAGCAGAAAAAAAAAAATCAGAGATTCTTTCAATAGTTGAACTTATGGACAGGATACTGGGTTGTCTAGAAGAGAAACCATTTGAGTAAATGGCATTATCTACTTCAATTTACCTTTAAAGCAGGTGTTTTATGAAACTGGCCATATTAGAATTATCTTGTGTTCTTTTCATATAAAGTGGTTGGCCAAAGAATATAACATTTCAGTTAGACAAGAGAAATAAGTTTAAGAGTTCTATTGTGTGAACTATCACTTGTGACTATCACTAATAATATATTATGCATTCAAAAAGTGCTAAGCAAACGAAAGTGCTAAGTGGTCTCATCACAAAAAGTACAGGTAATAAATACGCCAATTTTATTAACTTAACCACCGTACTATGATACTTCCAAACAGTACACAAGGGGCTGGAGGTGGCATGATATTTGCCTAGCATACTCAAAGCCCTGAGTTCCATCCACAGCACTGAAAGCCAAATGAAGCACACTCTGTACCATAAATCTATACAACCTTTAACCAATCAACTTTTAAATTGAAAACAAGGATTCTGATTTAGCAGATTCATTAAAGGAACCCAAGACATCTGTCTAACTAAAAATCTCCAAGGTAAAATAGGTAAATAATTGGGTTTCAGAACCTCTGTTTCAGAGAGGAAATGGTATGCAAATTGCCATTCTACTGCTGGCTGGTGAGGCATGATACCTTGGCTAAATGGCAAGCTACCTTGTAAACGGACCTTGACATTTTTGTCTCTGAAGTGGAGTTGATAATAGCAGATATCTTATATGTTTGTGTTGATTGACTAAGTTAATGTTTATGTTGTTCTTGGAATGATTCTTGGTGCAATATAACATTTGACACTGGTTTATGACTGTTGGTGCTTGGTATTGCTCTTTTTTATTGTACAATTAAATAATTAATTAATTTATGGGTTTTTTGAGACAAGGTCTCAATGCAGTACTAGCTGGCCTTGAACTCCCTATGTAGACCTGGCTGGCCTCAACCCACCTGCCTCTGCCTCCTGAATGCTGGGATTAAAAGCATGTGCCACCACACCAGGCTAATTCACTTCTTTTTAATTAATATAAAATAATTATATAAAATTCAGGTTTAATGGATGGTTATTATCTATTTGTGCATGTGTCCAGGTATGTGAGCGTATTTATGTGTGTGGGGGAACATGTGTGTTGGTGGATATGCATGTATTCGCATGGGCATGAAGAGACCAGAGTTCCACTTCAAGTGTCATTCCTCAGGAGCTGTCTGCCTTGTTTTTTAAGAGGGTCTCTCCCTGGAATCTTGCCAGTTGGGCTTGCCAACTAATCTAGGATGACTGGCAGAGAGCACCAGGGAATTGGCTGTCTCTGTCTTCTGAGCTTGCCAGCACACCCAGCTTTTTACATGGATGCTGGGACTCAAACCTAGGCCCTCAGCCTTGCACAGCAAGCACTTCACTGACTGAACTATCCCCAGCTGTGGTGATTTCCTGTTAATTCAGACCAATAGCTTAAGTAGATGTAATAAAACTTTTCAGGGAACCAAGTGATCCTCTATCCATACTGTCGTGACTAAAGAGAGGTACTTTAAAAAAAAATTCATAGTTTACCTAAAGACATTTGAACATAAAATTCATCTGCAATCTATAATTACTACTAAATAGGCCATCACTTTTCATCATTGCAGTATGTATAAGCACTAATAATCATATATCTATAAGAAATGACAGAATTTTAAAATAGGATATCATTTTATTAACTATAAAATGTACTTTAGTAAAACATATGATCTTACTTGACATTATATAAATTCATTTAATAACATAATTTGTTCCTGTCAAAGGCAGTATTTCAATTAGTTATAATTGGGAACTTACTTTAAGTCACTAAAACTCTCATTTATCATTTAATGACGCCAACCTATATGGAAAGCGGCCCATGTCAGTTGTGCTTATTTATTGCACTAATTCTCCAAATGTATGCTCATTCTAAAGCTTTCTGAAGAACTAATTTAAAATGACTTTTTCATTTCCCAAAGTTCTCATCTGGATTAGAATAGCAGTCGGATTTTTAAAATTTATAACATTTTTAATTTACAGAACAAAGTTTATGCTAAATCACGTTATTGAACTTAACCTTCACAGCTGCTCAGCCATATGTAAACAATTTCTGTGACTGTTCAATTCGACATTTTTCTCTTAGCTTTATTAACCATGGGCTGAATTGTGGCCCCTAAAAGATGTGTACCAGAACCTATAACTATGACCATTTTCAGTCTAAGATCTTTGTAGACAGAATTAAGGTAAGGCTCTCAGGAGAAAATCATTCTGAGACATGGTGGCTCTCAAAGCCAAAGACTAATGGCCATAAGAGGCAGAACAGGAAAGACACAAAGACTCAGAGGAGGGAAGGCCTGTGAAGACAGAGCAGAGACTGAATGACTGCCATAAGCCAAGATCATATGTGCAGTGAGAAGGTGGATCAAACAAGGCAGGATCTATTTTTTCATTCTTTTTTATGTGTGTGAGTGTAGTGCCTGCATGTGTGTAAGTGCGCATGTGTCACGCAGTGCCAGCAGAGGTCAGAAGAAGGCATCCGATTCCCACAGAACTAGAGTTACAGGTGGTTGTTAGCCACTATGCGGTGCTGGGAATTGAACCTGGGTCCTCTGCAAGAGCAGTCAGTGTTCTTAACCACTGAGCCATCTCTCCAGTCCCAGGATTCTTTGAGTTTTGAAGGGACAATATCCCTGCTGACACTTGCTGTGATGTGGAGACTGAGACCCTGGCCTTGGACATGCTCAGTACATGTTCCACCACTGAGCTACACTCTAACCAGCCATGCCAACACTTGGATGTTAGATTTCTGACCTCCAAAAACTGTAAGAGAAGAAATTTCTGTTCTGTTAAATGACAGAATTTGTGGTGATTTGTTGTAGCAACCCTAGGGAACTAATCTAGGTATACATTTGATATTAATGACAGGTGGTTTTTAAAAAAATTCATGCAAAGGACTGGAGGGATGGCTCAGTGGTTAAGAGCACTTACTATTTTTGCAGAGGACCTAGACTGAGTTCCCAATATCCACATGGTGGTTACAATTATCTGTAGCTCCAGTTTCAGGGGATCTGATGCCTTCTTCTGGCTGCCACAGGCACCAGGCACACACACACTGGACATACATACATGAAGGCAAATAATCATACTCAAATCCTTAAAAATCACATGCAAGCTGGGCATGGTGGTACACGCCTTTTATCCCAGCACTTGGGAGGCAGAGGCAGGCAGATCTCTGTGAGTTCAAGGCCAACCTGGTCTACATAATGAGTTCCAGGCCAGCTGTGGCTATAGGGAGACCCTATCTCAAAAAGACCAAAAAAATGCAAATAACATGTTTCATCACATTTTAATACATGTTTTACACTTTGTTCTCATTTGTCCCCCTCCTGTGTCCCCTCCTGCTGGTCCCCTTCTTCCCCATAAATAGTGCCTTCTGCTTTTCTGAGAATGATAGGTTTTGAATTCATTTAAATGTTAGTTTATAGTTACATGTTTATAGATAAGACCTTCTTAAAAACTATGTGAATGATAGAATGTCTGTGACTAAAGTCAGGAGAGAACCTTATGTACCTGCTATTCTATCCATCTTTGTGAAGTTACTGTTTGGGCTTTGTCTTCCGTACCACAGATGTGGCTGGTGGTTATTCTTCTTCCATGCTCGATGCCATCAGAAGAGCCTTGATGGTCTCCAATATCCTTTTAATTAATAAGGTAAATGAGAAAAGCCTCACCCTCAAAGAAGTCTTCAGACTAGCCACTCTTGGAGGAAGCCAAGGTAATGACTATTTTCTTTCCCACACCATGCTCCACCATGCCAGTCTGTGTCTTTGGCTATAGTATAAAGGTGCACAGTAGTGAAATTAGGCAAACCCCACATTCATGATTGACATATTGCACATAGCCTACCCAAAGTATGGCCAGTGAGACATGTGTTCCATCAGTCTATGGAGCAACCATTCTTCTCACATGTAAATAAGATAGAAATTATATCCACTTTGCTTTTTAAAAAGTTTTATTTATTATTTGTATTTCATGTGTATGAGTGTATTGCCTGCAAATGTGTAAGTGCACCCATGTCATACAATGCCCTCAGAGGTCAAAAGAGGGCATCAGATCCCCTGGAACTGGAGTTACTTATGGTTGTTAGCTACCATGTGGGTGCTGGGAACCGAACCTGGGTCCTCTGCAAGAGTAGCCTGTGCTCTTAACCACTCTCTCAGCCCCCACACTTTGCTTTATTTTAGAATGAAAATAGCACTAAACCACTAGAAACTAGTGAGCAGTTAAAATGTATGGACACAGATCTGTGGATGTAGATTTATGATAGAAACCCCAAGTCTTAGAAATGGAAGGCCAGGAATACCCTAGGAAGAGTTATTTCTCAGCTCTTCTTTGACTGTTCTGACTATAATGAACACCATAAAGAACATTTTAAGAAAAAGGAATAGCATTTATACTCTTTGTAGCTCCTTAGCCCTTAAAGTTTCATTTCAAAGTTCAGTTTCCAGTCATCCATTCTTGTAATGTGGTCCCTTTCACCCACAGCGTCATTATATTTGAGCATCCACCTTAGTTGGAGTGGTTCTACTCTCTATATGCCAGCGAAAACAAGTTGAGTTTAAAATAGTGGGTTATTTTTATTTTTGGTGCTTGGGGTTTACTGCTCTAGGCTCTCTGATTTGCTGTTAGGTTCTTGTTTCTGCCCAAGCTGCTGCAGGATACTTACCAAATCACTTTCTACTTTGAGGTGTCGTTTTTAAATCTTTGTTCCTGGATCACTGGGCTGACTGCAGTGGAATTTCCTCTTTTTCGCTTGTCTCTAGGCTAGTCAAAATGAAATGGGGTGAATAGATCCCTGTTTAAGGTGTGACTCTTTCTCAGTTCTGCCAAAGCGTTTGCACTCACTCCTGAAGTCAAACTGTACAGCAGTCATCCTCACAGAGCACTCACATCCTCACATTCACTCCAAGCAGCAGAGATGCATTTCCTGAAGCCATTTGAGTTACTGACCAGCCTAGTTGGCTCTGTCCAAAAGATCTAGATTTGCATCTGTTTTCAAATTCTCTGAAAGCAATTATGTACTACTTGGTTAGTTCATCCCTGAACTCTTCCTGTTCTAACGAATAGCCCAGTTAGTTTCTACATGCCATCAGTCTCTCATGGACCCTTGCAAATGTGCCTGCTTCTCTGGCCTACTATGCACACATAATTTTGTGTTGAATCAAGTCATTTAAAGGTCATATTGTCAGCTCCCTTGTCAAGGACAAAAGTAGCATATAACCAAAGAAGGAGAAAAATCCAAGCACTTTTGTTTCACACCAGTCTTCCCCCCATAATTAGTAGAAGTCACCTAGCAAGTTTTAACAATTATTATTTCTGCACCCCTCCTGTGCTATGAGAATTCTTTAGATTAAAACCCTTTTCCCTTTTCTGAGAATAAAGAGTTCCTATTTAAATAACATTTTAAGAACAAGTAAGATTTCTAATTCAGTGCTTTGAGATTGCCTAACTATCTGGATACCTGCACACAGAAATATCATGTATCGGATATTGCCTTATAACCAAAAAGAAAAAAAGAAAAACAAACAACAAAAAAAACCCTATCCAGTATTTTTACATTAAAAAATACCCTGACAGTGGTAGAATGTACCAGACACAAGTAAAGTTTGAACCAGATACTACTACAGTGAGTTCATCTTAGTTTCATGCATAGTTTTGCTTGCGATTTCAATATACGCTTCACTCAGAACTCAGGCTTTAAGGTGATGCTGACTCAATAGCTTCATTGGCCACAAAATCCAAATACTTGTGTCTTCTGAAACAAATTATAAAAGTGAGAAGTGTTTCCCCCTTGGCATCCAATAAAATGGATCATGAGTAACAACTGTGAGATGGGCAGGGTCAGTGGACATTATCTTAAGGTTCCCTATCTAGAAAACCATTCTTTGGCAGTCAGAAAACCTTAAGGTTGGAAAGAGAGCAATCTGCTTTCAAACAATTGGGACTCTTGAGTTATAGGATCTGGGGACTTTGAAATGGATTTTTTTCTATTCAAATGATTTCAACTAAGGAATTCACAATGGCTATGTCTGCATTGGCAAATATGCAAAAGGAAAATTAATGTTTATTCGCAGTTCAGATCACTGCAATGAAAGTAAATTTGTCAGGTACTTCATGGAACCCAAAGAGCAAAACCACAGAGCAAGGAGTGTGGTGGGCAGAAGGGAAATGACAAAGTAGACAAGTATCATGTCAGGTTTCTGCTTTGAGAGATCAACAGATGGCCTGGGTGGGAAGCACTAGCACTGGAGGATGCTGTGAGAAGGGAGCTGCTCCCACGCTCAGGTTCTGCTTTCCTAGAATCTTGCTGTCCTCGGAGATCTTGAGGTGTGCTGGAATGGGAACACTTCTGCTTCACTATTGATCCTAATTTGGGGGTTTTACTTATACGTTGATAGATTCTGTCCTTGCAAACAAGGACATCAGCATGATTTGATGGCATGGAATTCTGATGGCTGTTCACTTGTTTCCCACTGTAGCTCTGGGGCTGGATAGTGAGATTGGAAATTTTGAAGTGGGCAAGGAATTTGATGCCCTCTTGATTAACCCCAAAGCATCAGACTCTCCCATTGATCTGTTTTGTGGAGATTTTGTTGGAGATATTTCTGAGGTAAGTATAAGAAAGTGAATCAAAAAGCATTTGGGTTAGTTTTTTGAGACAGGGATTTTTAACTATATAATCCAGGCTGGCTTGGAACATTAAAACCTTAATATGGAGGCTGGAGAGATGGCTCAGCAGTTAAGGACACTGGCTGCTCTTGCAGATGACCTGGGATTTGGTTCCCAGCACCCTCAAGTTGGCTAACAACTGTCCATAATTCCAGTTCCAGGGGATACAATGCCCTCTTCTGGCCTGCATGGGTATTGCACATATGTAGTGCACTTACATACATGTAGGCAAAACACTCATATAATAAAGCAAAAGTAAATATTTTTTAGGTTCTGATAAGAGTTTTAGGGTTTTAAAAAACTTAAACACTATTTTCCTTACCAAAATAAAAAGGAAATTTCCACAACTTAAAACTCAATTATCGGGGGCTGGAGAGATGGCTCAGTGGATAAGAACACTGTTCTTGCAGAAGACCTGGGTTCAAATCCCAGCACCCACATGGCAGCTAACAACTGTCTGTAATTCCAATTCCAGGATATCTGACAGTCTCTTCTGTCCTCTGTAGGCATTGCATGACATGGGTGCACTTACCTATATGCAGGCAATACACACATACACATAAAATAAAAATAATAAATAAAATATTAAAAAAGGGAGAAAACTCAGTTATCACATTTATTTCCATAAGTAGATCAGTTTATAAATAATTGTTGCTTCTTTTGCAAAAATATGTTTAAAACAATCATTATTAAGATGTATTCATTTTTGTTTGTAGGAAAAGATTGCTATGTTTTGTTTCTTGGAGACAGTCTTGATATGTAACCAGGTTATTTGAAATTTGTACCATTTGTTATTTTAAAGGAGGAAAATTACCTTTTTCTTTGTTGGTTCTGGTTCAAGGCTGGGGTCCCTAAACAAAAGAAATATTAACCAGAGAAAAGTATGCATATTTACTTAATGTAAATTTTCCATGTTACAAGAAATTTGTAATGAAACAAAGCTCAGGCAAACCCGAGTGTCTGCCAGGTGTGATGAAGAATGGAGAATTGTGGAGAAATGACAGAATAAGGATGTTAAAGCGGAGGACTTAGCGAGGCCCATTTGCCCAATTGTGCGACCATTTGCCTTCAAAGACAAGGATGCTCCTGGAGTAGGGGTAGGGAGGGGGCTTCTCACCCACCTGCCCTCACAAGCCCACAGGAGGCCAAAAACAGGTCAGGAATTCTTCCTAGGCTTTATGGGCCACTCTAGGGGAGAAGGGGAAGGCAAGAGTATCCTTCCTGCTTTCCATTTGGGAGTACTATGTCCTGTTACATTATTTTCAATTTTTTTTATTTGTTTACTATTTTACTACAGTGAATTCTTGGAATGTGGCTTAACCCCATTGATATAGTCATGTTTTTATATCATACACCTCCTGAAGTATTTGGATTATCTCATTATTTTGATTAATTTATGTAATACTTTGCCTCTGAAGATTTCAAGGTTGTATGCTAGGAATATTCCAGCAATGAATAGCTAGCAGCTGATGATTTTTGTTTGTTTGCTTGGATTTAGGTTTTTGTTTATTTATAGTTTTTGAAAAAAGACTACTTCTTTTTATTTAAAAAATAAAATTTCCTTTTGAGAAATAAATTTCAATACCTGGATTTTTTTCTAGCAACTTTTCCCTGTGAATTTAATTTTTAAATGTACCAAATATTATTTCTTACTACCTTTGTTTTTCATTTTAGACTGTTATCCAGAAGTTCTTCTATCTAGGTAGGTAGAGCTATGCTTCTATGCTAAATAAAACCTGTTTCTTTTCTTGGGCAAGGCTTTCTGCTTACAATACTGTGTATTAAACTCTGTGTGTGTTAATTTGCATTGATTCATTTTTTTAAAACATTTCTCAGCATTAAGCCTCAGCATTGTGCTTATGGCACAATACCTAACAGTCAGCCTAGAACACACAGTCATAAGTCCCAGGCTGAGGACTAGAAGGGAAGAGAGCTTCATGCCAAGCCCTCTTATACTTGTTATGTGCCCTACAAACCTCCCTGTCCTGAGGCAGAACTGAACTCACATTCAGCTGTATTCTTTGGGACAGAATAACAATATGTAGGTTGGAGCAGTTGACACTGCCTCACTTCCCAAAGGCTGAGCTCAGTGCTGGATGAACTTGAGCTGTGAGATGGGACCTTTCTGCAGACTGATCATGTCAACATGCTGAGCATGATCTAGAGAATAAAGGTAGGTGTGCCTCTCCACTTGGGGCTAGAAATGCAAGCCAGCCACTTCAGCTGAACAGGCAGCAATGGGGTTGCTTGAACTTACTGTGATTTCCAGCTCAGCTTCAGAACTGATACCCTAATCCTCAGATGAACTGTGGTGTCTTCTATTGATCACATCGCACTGATGAGATTGCAAACAATCTGGGAGAAATAAGGCACTTTCTTTCTTTTTTTCTTTTAAAAGAATTTTGTTTTAAATCTCTTTTGAAGGCAATTAAACACTGATTGAAGCAAAAACACATTATAAAGAATTCTTCGCATTTTCTTTCAGGAGATGACCGAAATATTGAAGAGGTTTATGTGGGTGGAAAGCAGGTGGTTCCATTTTCCAGCTCGGTGTAAGACCCCTGGCCATCCACGAAGTTCTCCTGGGATGACACACATCTTCCCTGTGCCCAGGTGCTGGTTAGAAAGCTAAAAATAAGTACCTTGTTCTTTGGATGACTATCTCTTTGTGTCTAGTTACAGTACCCACTTGGTAAATTGTTTGAAGGAGGTGCACTACTTTTCAACTCTGGTTGGGGGCATTCATACTTTCATGGAAATGCCTCCCTTTGGAGCTGTTCAGATTTGTGTCAAGTTCAAACAGAAGGCCACGTCACTGCTGGGCTGCGCTTGCATTGAAGTAAAACCTTTCTATATAGGGAAATGTGAAAGGAAGAAATATTCCTATGTGGTTAGATATTCTGAGCTAATAAGTGTGAAAATTAGGAATCTGAACATGGACCAATGAGTACATTTTCATGAGAGGGCACAACTTAGACTGTGAACAAATGGTGGAAAACCACTTCAGATTGTGTTTGGAAATTATGTACTGAACGTAGTCATTTAAAAAGAGAACTCACTAAATTTTAAACTGTGTTTCTAGGTTGACCTTGTACTTCGGAAATTTATGCTTCATGGAATTTGCATTTCAGAGATGTGTTACTGTTGTGCTTTGCCTTCCTTAGGGATGAATGTCAGAAACCGAATGCCATATACTTTTAAAATATAGTTCTGTGCTTCAAAGTATTTGACAGAAGTTGAGTATTAAAGATTTCAAGTCTCTTAGGGGATAGCATTCATAAAGCCACATGGCATCAACAGTTGTGTTTTTGTGTACTTCAAAGTCACCTTCATTTTTGGCTATGTGATGTTAAAATGTGATGTTAAAACTGCTTCCATTTCATTTGATGAAAACAAATCCCATATGTCATTGCTGTATAGACTGGAGTCTTCTTAAACTGGAGAGTACTGGGTGTCCTAGGGATGGTAACACTAATAAAACAGGGTCCTAATCTGTCCAACACCACACATCAGCATTGCTGGACCACTCACACTCCTGTCAGTGTGCTAGAGTTTAAAAGCCAGAGCCAGTCCCACTAAGGAAACATAAGGAAAGAACTGTATGGCCTATATATTGAAAACACTTTATTTTTCTAATTTATCCAACTGTCTCTTTAATTCCTTAAGGTTTTTCTGGCATTAAAATTTTAGGATAATGAAGACTTATATAAAGGTTCCATTTAATGCTTATATTAGTAGGACTTAACCTGTAATAGACATGTAGGAAAATTAAACAAGAAAAAGGTATTTTATATTTCCTGATATAGCATCCATTTTAGACTTGAAACAAGATTATGACTATATGATAAATCTTTATAAAGTATTGGTATGAATTCTATTCAAATCCTCCATTTTCTTAACTTATTCTAGGTCCTATACACAAACAAGGACAAAGAACAGTTTTCCTTAATATAATATATCATACCATTGACTCCTAGGGCTTAGGTAAGATTCAATATGATCTTAAGAAGAAAAATCTTATGTTCTATAGTTAATTCTGTATTTTCAGATCTGAGAACACAATTCCTCTACTGTCATGTAAATATCACTTTCACGTATTCATGCTATTTCAGCAGTAATTTGTCCACATTCTTTTTCCTGGTAGAAACACTTTTAGATTTGATTGTGTATACATTACATTTAAAGATGCGACACATTTTTTATCTTATTTTGTTTTATAAAATCAACAGAGTTTGTTCTGTGTGGGATAAAAAGTAATTAAATCCAACTTCCAGTCTCAGTCTGAATGTCCAGTAATTCTAGATCCTCAGCCAAGGCAAAGATCACCTGCCAGATTCCTCCCCACTCCCCTCTAATGCCAGGAAATGTTTTCTGCTCTTTTGACCTAGATGAAGGAACTTAGTTACAGGATGTCTAGCCTGAACAAGGAGACTGGGGAGCTTAGATGTGATGGGTAAGAGCCTCTGACAGTCAACAGCTGTTTTCAGCTTTTGTGAGATGCTACACTACCTTCCTTAAGGGTGTGCATTTTGATGTTGAACATCAGTTTTTATTTAAACATAAGGTTCACATACAGTAATATAGATAAGTGTGGTTTTTCAATAGCCAATATGGCATCATTCTGTCAAACTTTCAGTTGTCCTGATAGTATAAGAGCTGAGTAACTTTTCTAGTAAAAACGGAGTATGATGAAATGTTTATACGTACTGTGCGCTCCCTGCATCTCTTCTAACTTATGTGTTTTATCTCCCCAAATCCAGTATTCCTGAGTGTTTCACATACTTTAGTACCCCACACATGGGGCCACATGTTCTGCACTTTGAATGTCACCTTTACCTACTGTAGACTGACTTTCTGACTTGCACACCGGCACATGCCAAGCCTGACCCTAGTTGTCACTTTATTTTTGAATGGTGTTTTTTCTCTGACAAGAAAGAACTAAAACCATGTTAACCCTCCCTCCCACTCTCTGCCATTTGCTTTACTTCCCTGGAATTTTTGATGGCATACTATTGTAAAAGGCTTTTTTAAAGTCCAAATTATCATGTACAGTATATTTATAAACTATTCTTGCAATCAGAACACAAAGTAGGCTAATCAACCAAGTTGAATTTGATTTTCAAAAGGGAGGGAAATATAGGAAAAAGGAGATTAGGTTGTGAGAGGTTGTTCTAATCAGAGATTGGGCCCCTCTGTTGTATTATCTCAGTTGTTTCTTGGCTTGAACTGTCAAAGATCCAGGACTCCAAGAGAGTCCTTGGTTCAAGCTCCCTTCATGCCAGAGGGAGGTCTTTCTAAGTTAGTTCTGTGAGCATTGAACTCCATTGAATCTCTTTTCCTCAGTGAGAAATCTTCAAGTTAGAGGAAAGAAAATGGCAGGAAACGTCCTCTTTCTGCTTAGCTGATTTTGAAGTGTGCCCCTGAATATTCCAGTTGGCAGCCGTTCTGCAGTCTTGCAGAGGAAACGCAATGGCTGTGAGATCTAGCAATGTATTTCAAGTCTTCTCTCTTCGCTCTCTATCAGAGTGTGCCTATTTTGAAGTTTCTCACTTCAGAAGCAGACACAGAAATCCTTGCAGGCAAGTGAGAGGCTCATTCTATCATTTCTACCTTGTGCTACACATGGAAGAGCCCCAGAGCTGGATGCTTCTGCTGTTTTAGAAACAGGCGGGTTGAAAGTTCATCATGGGCAATCATTTGAAATAATTTAAAATTGCAGGAACTATGTCAATTTTTTTGAGACCAAAAGGAGATGTTTGCAATTTCTGGTCTATTAGATACAGCAGGCATGAATTTACACCTTAAAATTTATGTCTCCAGAGAAGACATTAACAAATTTCAAAAGACCCAGAAAGAAGCAGACAGGTCACTGCTAGAAAACTCTGTTACTGTGCATGTTTTCAAACCTACCCTCAACTTTCCTTCCCACCCTTGAATGTGAGAGGTGGAGTATAGAAGGGGAAGTTTGGGATCTAGTCCAAATTTAGTGAAATTCAAAAGCCAAATAAGTCAACAATGAAATCAAATGTAACTTCTGAGAAGGCTTTTACCAGGTTACTTGAGTAACTGATGTCACTATTAACACAACTGTTGTGTGGCAGTAATTCACTTGCCCATCTCCTATCAAAAAGCCTGTCATAAAAGCATTCCTGAAGTTATTGTTAGACTCTTGATTGCTGTTCTTAAGCCTATACATGTATGTATTCAAGGGGATGTTCTTCCCCACAGTATCTGTATGATTTGCTTATTGTTACTGTGCTGTGTGAGCTCCTTCGTGCACCAGGAAAAAAAATAAATGAAATTTTGTGTTTACATTATTTTTTGTTGTGTTTGCTATTTGTTTTTATTGAAAGTTCTATCAGTCTGATGGAAGGAAAATGAATCTTATTCTACTTCCTGTCTGCCTGATGTACGTTGTTCTGCCATGCCCATGGGGGATTGAAACCTCTGATACTGTGAGCAAAATACAAAATAAGCAGGCTCAGTGACACGTGCCTTTAATCCTAGCACTGTGAGATCCTGGTCTACATAGTGAGTCCTAGGCCAGCTGGGGCTACAGAAAGACCCTGTCTCAAAACAACAACAGAAACAACAAAAAAAAGATGACTCAAATCCTTTATCTGTTGGGTTGTTTATGTTAGGTATTTTTTCCAAGAAATGCAAAAGTAATTAACACAGCTATGATGCACACCCATTTAGAACTGAATACTATGCATTTGATTTTAGCATAGTTTATTTTTCATATTTTTTTAAAGCTACAACCCACAGTAAGAAATATACCTTACCTCAAGAGTCAGTTCACGAGACTGGAGAGATGGTTAAGAGCACACAACTGTAACTCCAGTTCCAGGGGATCCCAAAGCCTTCTTTTAGCCTCCTTGGACACTGGGCATGCATGTGGTTCACAAACACACATACAGGCAAACACTCATACACATACAATAAAAATAAATATATCTTTATAAAAAGAATCAGTTCATTGTTATGTAGAAATAACAGTTCTAAGAGGGAAGTTTACATGTTGTGAGTACCTACATTAAAAAAAAAAATCATAGTGTTCTCAAATAACCTAATGATGCATCTCAAGTTCTTAGAAAAACAAGAACAAGTGGAATACAAACCACAGAAGAAAAGAAATAATAAATACCAGCATTGAATTTAATAAACTAGCAAACAAAAGATCAATACAGAGCATCAATTAAAGAGTTGATTCTTTGAAAAGTAGCTATATTGGCAAACCCTTAGCTGAGCTAACTAAAAGAAAAAGAGAAAACCCAAATGAATAAAATTAGAGCTGAAAAACGGAGCTACTACAACAAACCCCACCGAAAACAACAGTATCATTAGCAATTATTTTGAAAACTTAACTAGGAAATCTAAAAGAAATGGACAAATTTATAAACACATACACCCTACCAAAATTGAACCAAGTATATATACACAATCTGAATAGATCAGCTTCTAGACAGGACATAAAGTCGTCATATAAAGTCTTCCATCAAAGGACAGCCCTCTATCAGACATATTTTACCAGATCTTTGAAATACTAACAACAGGGCTCCTCAAACTATTCCATAAAATAGAAATGGAAGGAACAAAGCTCATTCGATGAAGGCAGTTACATGACATAAAAACAGATGACTGAACAATAGCTACAAAAAAGAAATTCTTTGATGAAGATGCAAGTATTCTCAATAAAACACTACAAATTCAATAACACATTAAAAAGATCATAAGCCATGATTAAGTTGGTCTCATTCCAAGGAAGCAAGGATGGCTCGACATCTGTAAGTCAGTAAACATAACAGAGCCCACAGAGAGAATCAAGGACAAAATCGTGTGATCGTCTCAATAGATGCAGAAAAAGCCTTTGAAAAACTTCAGTGTTGCTTCACATTAATAACTCTGAAGAAATTAGAAACAAAAAGTCGTATCAACATAATGACTAAAGTCATCAAGCCTATAGCCAACATTTTACTGAATGGGGAAAAAAGGGAAAGCGTTTCCTCTAAAAATCAGAAACAAAGATAATATAATCTTACCCTTTCCCAGTCATTATGGAAGGTAAAAATCTTAGCAAAAGTAATAAGGCAAGAGAAAAAAATTAAGTTTAATTGTTCTTATTTGTAAATGATATGATCTCATGCTAAAATACCCTAAAGGCTCTACCAAGAGACTTAGGTTTGATACTTTCAGGAAAAAAAAAGAAAAAGAAAAAGAAAAAAAAAAAAAGCAGGATACAAAGTCAATATATGGAATCTTTAGCTTTTTTAAAAAAATATTTTATTATTTTTATTTTATGTGTATGTGTGTATTGCCTGCATGTAGGTCAGCGCACCTGTGTTGTGCAGTGCCTATGGAGGAAGAAGAGACTTGGATCCTCTGGAACTGGAGTTACGGACAGTTGTTAGCTACCATGTGGGTGCTGGAACTCAAACCCGGGTCTTCTGCAAGAACAGTGTTCTTAATCCCTGAGCCATCTCTCCAGCCCTGAAATCTTTAGCTTTTTAAAACTAAATCAACACAGACTCACAGACAAATCAGGAAAACTATCCCATTCAAAGTAGCCTCAAAAATAAAAACAGAAATCATTAGGAATAAAACCTAATAAAGGAGGCAAAGACCTCCACAATGAAAACTTTAAAACACCAAAAGAAAGTGAAGATGACACTAAAATTGAGTGACCCCTGTGTTCACAGAACATGGAATGAAGATTCTAAAAATGGTGCCTGTCTCTAATCTCAGGACTTGGGAGGCAGAGGCAGGCAGATCTCTGTGAGTTCTAAGCCAGCCTGGTTTACATAGTGAGTTCCAGGCCAGCCAGGGCTACACAGTGAGACCCTGTTTCAGAAAAAAGCCAATCTATCTAACAATGAATCAATGTATATTACTGAAAGAAGTCTACAGAGTCAGTGCAATTTCCATCAAAATTCCAATGATATTCTTCATATAGCAAAATTAATATAGAAATCCTAAAGGAGCCTAGTCTTGAACAAAAAGAGCAAGACCCCAAAGTCTGAAATTACTAGAGGAAAATATAAGGTAAGTATATAAAATCATAGGTGTAGGCAATGGTTTTTAAAATAGAGCTTCAACTGCTCAAGAAAGAATAGCAAGAACTGACAAGTGGAAGTTTATGATATTAAAAAGTTTTCACAACAAAGGAAGCCAAAGGAAAGGGACAGCCTACAGTAGGTGAATGTCTTAGCTAGTTATTCAAGTGAAAGAGAAGTAATGTCCCAAATGTAAAAACTCAAAGAACTCAATACCCAAAGAGAGAAATAATTCAAAGAATAAGTGGACAAATGAACTGAACAGTTTTAAAATGAAGAAATAAAACCGACCAGTAAATTTATGACCAAAAAAATAAAAAAGTGCCACATCTTCAGTCATTCAGGAAATGCAAATCAAAACTACACTGAAGGGGTTGGAGCGATGGCTCATCAGTTAAGATCATTTCCTGTTCTTCCAGAGGACCAGGGTTTGATTCTCCACTAACCATCCTTAACTCCAATTCCAGGACATTTGACACCCTCTTCTGGTCTCTATTGGTATTGCAGACATGGTGATAGGTGCAGGCAAAACACCCATACACATAAAAATATTTCATAAAATATTTTAAAAACCGCACTGAAGGTACATATTGCTGCAGCCAGAATGTCTGTTATCAGGGAAACAAATAATAACAAATGCTGGAGAGGAAAAAGAAACACTAACAGGCAGTTGGTCAGATGGTAAACTAGCATAGCCATTGTGAAAATAAGTGTGGAGGGTCCTCAAAAATTTGAAAAAAGAACTATCATGTGATCCAGCTATACCACCCCTGAGTGAAGTTAGCTTACCACAGAGATACCTGCACATCTACTTTATTACAGCACTATTCACAACAGCTAATGGATGGAATGAGGTGGGCAATGGATGGACAGATGAATAAAGAAAATGCAGTGTGAGTGTGTGTGTGTGTGTGTGTGTGTGTATGTGTGTGTGTGTGCATGAAATGGCATAAAAGTAGCAGGGAAATGCCTGGAATTAAAGAAGGGGATCAGGAAGAGGGGAAGGGGAGTTAAGACAACAGTTGGGATAGTAGACATGGTCAAAATACATTGTATGCATATTGGAAAATGTCACAATAAAACAATTATTTTGGGGACTGGAGAGATGGCTCATCAGTTTAGAGCGGTGACTACTCTTGCAAAGGATCCAGGTTTGATTCCCAGCACCTACATGGTGGCTAACAACTGTTCATGACTCCAGTTCCAGGGGATTTGATGCCTTCTTCTGATCTCTGTAGACACTGAATGATGCACTTATACATATGCAGGCAATACACTCATACACAGAAAATATTTTTTTAAAAATATTGTTATGGGGCTGGAGAGATGATTCAGTGGTTAAGAACACTGGCTGTTCTTGCAGAAGACCCGGGTTCTAATCCCAGCATCCACATGGCAGCCAACAACTGTTTGTAACTCCAGTTCCAGGGGATCTGACAGCCTCTTCTGTCTTCCACAAGCATTGTACCACACGGGTGCACTCACCTACATGCCTGCAATGCACACATACACATTAAAAATAATAGAAAAGAGGCCTCTCTTGGGATAAGTCTAACGCGCAGCCCTCGCGCCTTGACTCCCCCAGCCGCGTTCACCCTTCCATCTCCCCCGCTGTTCTCTACTCCTAGCTTGGGCCCTGTGCCATTCCTAGTCTTGGGGCCCCAGACACCTGGGGAGCCAGTGCTGCTTCCTGATCCTTTTCACCCAGACCAACTGAGTGCCTTCCTTGGGCCCAAGGAGCACTGCTTCTGGATCTGGCCCCGCCCTCACCTCCCTCTACTTCCCTGGTCCTGCAACACCCGCCAGCCTCTTTCTGGGGCTGACAGCCTCTTTCTGGGGCTCCGAGGCTTACCTTTCCTCTCCCTGATCCTTTG